AGAGAGAGAGAGAGTTTGCAAGAGAGAAAGAAAAAGAGAAATGGGTTATAGCTGTGTTGATAGTTGTTAGTTGCTACACACGCATACGCTCCCCCTCCCCCCACGTATACATGCATCTCCTCCCCGCGTGCCCTCCTCCCCTCCCCGCTCCATCACATCTCCTCCCCGCGTGCCCTCTCCCCTCCGTGCTCCATCACATCTCCTCGGAGAGGTCGGACAGGTTGTCCGGCGGGTCTGCGCTGATCGTGAAACCGCCCTCGGACGCGCGCTTGGTCAGCGAGGTCGAGCGGCAGCTGGCGCCCTCTGGTACGCCCTCTTCCCTGTCGTCACAGCCCTCGAACGCCGGCGGCGCGAACCCCATCCCGTCGAAGACCTCGTCCACGAGGGGTTGTTCATCGACAGGTAGCTCTTTGGGAGGTTGTTCATTGACAGGTTGTTCCTCAAGAGGCTGTTCATTGGGAAGTTGTCCATGGGGAGGTTGTTCATCAACAGGTTCTTTGGCAGGTTGTTCCTTAACAGGTTGTTCATCAGCAGGTTGTTCTTTAACATGTTGCTCTTTGTGAGGTTGTTCTTTAACAGGTTGTTCATTGGAGGATTTTTTTTCGTTTGCAGCCGTCTTCTCGTTGTGGCTAGAGGACGCTACCTCTGCTACTGCATTAGCACCATCTAGTGTCTCCTCGTCTGCCCTGCGAGCACCGGCGCCACCTGGTGTCGCAGCATTTTCCTCGCGAGCAGTCCCGGCGCCACCTTGCATCTCCTCGGCGCCACCTGGCGGCACGCACATCGTCGACAGCCTGGCGATGGCGACGAGAAGCGCCGAGCCGCTCACCGTCACCGTCAGGGGGCGCTCCTCGCGCGGCGTGTTGGGCGGTGGCGCCACCTCCTCCCGGCGATTGTTCTCGGCCGGTGACGGCGCCGGATTGTCGTAGTCCTCCGCCTCCATCGCGACGGCGACGGCGTCCGTTGCCACGGCAACGCGCTCGATGAACGGGGTGTTGGGCGGCACCACCTGCTGAGTCGCGCTATCTTCTGCGTAGCGACGCGAGCGCGCGACCCCGAGCACATGCATGCTCTCTTGTCTTCCGGTCGAGGAGGACTTGAGCGGTCGGCCGGGGATTGGCTGAAAGGAGATGATGGTGATTCCTACAGTTGTTTTGGCGGTCGATGCGGGGAGAGCGGGAGAGATGGATGAGAGAGAGGTAGAGATAGGGAGAGAGAGGTGGGGTATACATATGTAT